CCTTGGACTCAGCTCTATGGCTCTCTAGCTGTTGGACTATGAGCAAGTCGCATGACTTCCGTGTTTCACTCCCTCATCTATAAACTAGGGATAAACAGCCACCAGCATCAATAGGGTTGATCTTAGGAAGACAAAAGGGTCTGGTGTACATTTAACGACCGCTGACAGTCTCAAATCTCACTGTTCCTCCTTTTCCATTTACAGGGCCTACATGTGACTACACAACTGAAGTGGCAGATGATGTTACCACTGGCAGCCCATGGCTGTTCATCTAAGGAGCCCCATCTGAACACAGGCCAGCCACATGAGTCACGGGGGCCGTTTATTTCTCTTACCGCTTGAGCCAAGTAGCTGTCTGAATATTCCAGTTTTCTACGTACATTTTGAAACTTGTGGCAGTCTAGGGAGAAGAAAATAACCCCTATCATTTTGCTGTAAAAATAACCCCAAATTATGGAAAACCCTCCCCCAGAATTTCCCTGGCAGCAGACAACATGTGGTCTTTAAAGCGGTGACAACTTACAGTCCAGACTGGGTCCGCCGCTCCGTTGCACACTGTGCAATTCTCTGGCATTCACAAGATTGACTGTGCAGCTAAAAATTTGGCTGGCAGCGTCTCAATTTTTCCTCAAAATTTATTTTCAAATGATAGGCGGGCTGAAGGAACATGTTGTGGATTTTCCTTCCACTCAGGTTGCAGGAAAAAAATGTTAAAGTCATTTGGAACTTAAAATTAATACCCTAAAAGGGATTTACCACAGGAAAAGTTTAATCATGAGGACTCAGTGCCTGTATGGAGCCAGCTTGAATCCACTGTACAATGTGGCAGAGGTCTGCCTTCTGAAGTGAACTCGATAAATACCAACATAGACTCCGGGGTAGCCATCCACTTGTGCCTGGAATGGGAAGAGATTTCAAGGACGAAGGGTCCCATTGCAGAAAATAAAACAAATAAGAACCACTCAGCTGGCAATGATGTGGGTAAATCAACCATTAAAACAGAGACACACACACACCCTCTCCCAGGGACAAGAGAACAACAAATGATCCAAAACCAGGGGCGAGAAAAATGTAAGAGGCCTCGTAAGACTTGATCAAGGGCAATGTAACCGAGAGGAATCACTGAAACCCAAATGACGGTTGAGCATGATAGTGGGACAAGAGGAAAGGAAAAGGAAATAGAAGAAAGAACTGGAAGGCAAAGGGCATTAATAGAGGTCTAAATACAGGCATGTGCACATGTAAATATATTTATATATGAGGATG